TGCCAAAACATGGTAAGCGGCCCTCCGCCCAAAATAATTTCCCGCCCCTAGGTTAGAGGAAAAATCAAAGGAAGGTACAATTATACCACTCCAGCCCCACTCACCTCCCCCCACGTCCACTAAGCCTACAAGACTGTGAGAAGAGAAAAGGACTTCCCCACTTGGCACTGCTGTGTAGGGACTAATAACAGTGCACGTAATTATGGGAACTACTTCAGACAGCATCTCTCATCCAAGGAGTAAGGTAGGTCAGAATGAGGGGACTGTCCAGGGAGAACATAAAAACTGCAAACCAGTCAGTGGAGCTGACCTAGAGCAAGAAGCCTATAAAATGCACCCTTCCAAAGAATACAGTAGGTGGCCTTTCTATCTGAACTATCAGAGACACTGTGCCTGAAAACTTTGAAGCTTTGGGAACTAGCCTTCACTCATTTTTAGTTAAAAACAAGGGCATTTCTCTGGGGAGGTGCACAGCCAGAGACACTGAAGGGAATAGTAGGCTAAAGCTTTCCCAGGAAATGGGGATGCTCTCTCTGGCATGAAACCTCTATCTTATCTTTTCCCCATTAAGGTTCCTGGATTCTTGTGGGGGAGGCAACAAAGGGACTTGCTTCCCTGCTCATTCCTATGGCTAAACCTAAGGCTATTTTGAGACCTGGGATCATGGAGGAATCCATCCTGCTGCTGTTTCCCATACAAAGGCTCCTCAAACAAGGTAACACAACAGGAATACCACAAGTGAAAAAGCAGCAGCTAAGGCAGAGACTCCTGCCCTGAATTTTCCAGGCTCTCTCTGAACCCAGAACTATGCAGGGCCCACTCAGGTCCAGGTAGAGCCTCCACCTCCCCCCAGGACCCTTGAGGGGAAACTGAAGAAAGCAGCCAGCCAGAGACTCTAGGCACACATCCACACAGAAGAAGCCAATGCAGGGCCCTCCAGATGTCTGCAGAACTTTTAGCAGTTTGGACTGGACTTGCTCTGCTCTGCGTTACTTTGCTGTTTGCTCATACTGTCCTCCCTGCCTCCCCGTCTCTTCACCTGAGCTTCAATCCATACTGCCAGTCTCCCTCTCCACCCACATCACCTGCTTCCTCGCTCTTCCCATTTAGCTGACCCCTTCCTACACAAACCCACCCATCTCCAAAAACCCTGGACTAACAGGATGCTGCTCCCTGTCATTATATTGTTCCCTTTCCTTTTTTTTTGTGAATCTTGCCAACTTGACCCTGCACCATCTCTTTTGTCTAGTTATAGCATAAGCTTTTCAAGTAAAGTATTGTAGTACATAGTTTTGTAGTGGCCAGCACATTGGGGCCCCATTTTTGTTTGACCCTTCAGTATTGCCCAAATAAACAGGATTTCTATTTATAATCAGCAGAAAAGAGAATGAAAGAAGGCAAAGGAGAGAAATCCTAGCCTGTGGCCTACCCTGTGGAAAGATCTGCAACTTTTGCAGACAGGTCTGTGGCTCAAGGATTGGACTCTTAAGTTACCTGTTACATTCAATGCTGCTACAGGTCTTTTGGCCAGGTATGGAGACTAAGACACAGTTGTCCTTAACTATGAGCTGTGATAGGGATCCTCAAATTGAGGGACTGCTGCTGCCAATGACTTAATAAGAACACTTCAGTCAAGTACAGCACTGAGAAACTTCAACATGGCAAAATGCAAACTGCAAATTCAAGTGGCACAGTGGCAATGGGTCACCTCCTGCTGGTGACTTGCCACCTAGTAGAAATGATCAGCTACCACACCCTACACCAGGACTGCCACAGGCGATGATGGGAAGGATGGAGGGAAAAAGTCATACAGGATAAATAGCTAAAACTTATATTCAGTTGGTCAATTCTAGTAATTGAGTCTGTTCCTGAAACTCAGTAACATTCTTGTCAGGCCTCAAATTATAGCTTATAACTATGTCAGACCAACATAAGCAATGTGGCCGAAGGAAGGGCCACTACAGCTGGAGAGCACTGAAACAGTTGAACAACATATTTTATTGCCATTTTAACCATTTTAGCCGTTTGCCAAATGTTAGTGGTACAACACAAAATCAACTTACATGGGATGCTATTGTTTTTATCTGTACTAGTCACAAGTTTTATGCATTAAATGGCAGATTGCCATTCTTGATTGTGATTACTGGAATTTTCACTGTTTAAAACTATCCACCAGAGGGAGCACATATAATCATATAAAGAGAATACAAGTGTATTAAAAATGGTAAAGAAAAATATTAAGTATCTTAAAATTAAAATGTACTCTTAAAATGTACTCTTTTGTCCATATCAAGACATTCACAGTCAGCCTCAAACATGTTAGCCAAGTTTCACCTGAAGTATTACAATAAAATGCACATAAAAGGTTATAGGTATTTGTTACGCCACTACAAATTTTCAAAAAAATTTAGTTTTGTATAGCTAATGCAAATACTTTTCTATTAATTCCATTAACATCATTAATTTCATTAATAGCATGGTAAAAAACAAACTTTAAAAATATTGCATGTCCAGACTATATGGCAGACATTCAGTCCTGCACTAGTACTACGTTAAATTCACTTATCTTCCCCTCTGAAGGGTAGTAAACTATAGGTTTATACTCTTGGAATGAAAAGATTCCCATATTTCCAAAGTGTATGCAGCACTTGTTTCTATACAATAGAGTTTAAAGTACAGATATTAAAATCAATATAAATAAAACTGGAGAGGTTTTAAAAATTATATTCACTTTTCTTCTCCCTCCAAGGTCTATACAGTGGCCCTTCAGTACCCTTAGTTTACATATGGTGGGAAGCAAATAAAATGTGAGAGCTAACAGAAAACTGTTAATACTTTTAAGAAATTCTCAAACATTTATTTTAAAAAGTTTAAGTCAATTATGTGGCATACGCAGTCTAAGACAATGTGATGACAGTTTATCATGAACAACATGGTTTTAACTGCTTGAAGGTAACATGATAACATCAAACTGAGGCTGATCATTGCCCTACATATGTATCCCACTACTAAATGTCATGAAAGGACAAGATTGTTAATTAGCAGATGTTGGTCTCTCAAACAATTTTCACATTGTTAAGTAAAAAAACATTTTAAAAGTAAACAAAATTGAGGAATTTGCCTAGCTCCAGGCATTCTTCAGTACATGGACATCATAAAACTCCATACATCAAGATTCTTAGAAAAGCCTGTGGTTGGAACTACAGTTACTGCATGTCAAGTAGTGGCATGCAATGGCAGAGTGGTCTGCACAAGCTTATACCATACTTCTCACTTTTCCTGGATATGTGTTCTGCTTTGCTCCCAGAAGTAATAGAGATCTACCCCATCCACACAAAAATACCTGGGTTGACAATGTCTGCTTACCAAAGGTTGCTGTGGTGGCATTGCTTGGAGACCAAGGGCCTGCTGCTGACCCTGCTGTTGCTGCTGCTGTAACTGAAAGAAACATGGTAACAAACAATAAGGTGTGTACAGGTTAATTATATGATACAAGTGATTAGAAGCAACAGCAAGAGCAGCCACTTATTCCTTTAAGGATTTATAGCACCATATTGCTGTTCTAGAGTGATGTCAAGGAATCTGACTTTTCACTACTACATTTCTAAGCTCTGATTTGCCTGAATTGATGATGAAGCTGGGTTCCTTACTGCTCTGTTTAGGAGATGGACCCTACACATTTGCAAAATGCACTATTGAACCAGCCATACCCTTGAAAATGAAAGAATATTCACTGAATAATACAAAAAAGGGTGGGGGTGGATTTAAAAGCCTGTGTGTGTGTGTGTGTGTGTGTGTGTGTGTACACACACACACACACACACACACACACACACACACACACACACATTCAAGTTTCACCTCAAGGTCTAAATAAAATTTATTCAGTAATTCTGTTTAAGCTCAACTACTGCACTGGAATGAAAGCATAAAATAACTAAATAGCTGTACCAGGTCAACAAGAAGTAAAAGGATTTCTACCATTTGTTGCTTTTCTTTCCTATATGTATATATATTTTTAAAGCAGTTTAAGTACTTAAAGTACTAATTGGGGATAGATCAAACCAAAGTTTATAAAATGTTACAGGCGTACAGTGAATCCATCATGTCTTAGTTGTAGCATATATACAATTTTCATAATTAAGTAATGGTTTAATAACCTAAAACTATACATTATATTGTATTATTATAAGGATTTTCCCCAGTTCAATATCTGCGAGGCAATGATGCTTTCCGTGAGGAAAAATGTCAACTTTTGATTTCACCTTTTCCAAAGACATATTACAACCTTGAAAAATAAAGCCATTCAATACTGGGTTCATGCCAAAATGCCCTTTTGAACACTACATTCTAGCTTAAAGAATGATGAATGATTACACTTTAAGATGTATAAATTATACAAGTTGAGATTTATACTGTCCTGGCTACATGGTTCTTCACCTCATACAGTTATTTATATCCAAGCAGGCGAGTATGGGGTACTACCATGAAGAGATAGCACTTTATACCTACTTTGCCAAACTTCAAATGCTCCCCAAATACATTTTTATTAACACAACCGAGTCTCCCACCTGAAGGAGTCGCTGTTGTCGAATCTGCTGTTGTCTCTGTCTCATCTGTTCCTGAGGCAGCTGTACCGAGTTAAGGTTAGGGTGGGGAGCTGTGGTTGGTACATTTTCAAGTGCCCCTCCAACCAAGGAACTCTGTTGCAAAGGCTGATGAGTCAGTCTGAATAGGAAGAATATAGTTCAGGCAATTAAATATAATTTACACAGAAATCTGATGATAGTTTATGCATACTTGACCCTCTGGGTTAAAGTTCTTCTTGTGTATACTGGAAATGCAATTAAGTCTTACAAGAAGAATGTGTTTCCAGCTGTGAATGTCTAGAAAAATAGTATCTAATGGGATTATGTAGAGAGCTATTAACTAATAACTGAATAACAAGGTTGAAATTAAAAATCATAGGCCAGGTACAGCCATTACTTATAAAGCGGTATAAGTGATCCAAAACTGGTCTAAACCTGTAACAGAATAGAAGTTCAGCACACAGCCTGGTTTAAAAATGGCAGTACCTGGTCTAAGATAGATTTGGATCAATGTAGTATCAGACTTAAGCAATTTAGGTTAGACCGGTCTATCAAACTTCTGTATCAGATCCCCTCCTGTCTCAAGTTAGGTCGCTGTTTGCCGGCATCTCAGGCTGCTTTGCAGGCCCCTGCTAACCCCCCTCACAGAGTGGCAGGCTGGAACTTGGCCCACTCTGTCCCTAGCTCCACCTCTTGCCTCTGGCCGACTGTCAGCAACAGTCAGGGAGGGAAGGGCAGAGGGAAGGAGGGTCACAGGAGGGAGCATTCCCCCCCTCCCCTCACTACTCTGTTATGCAGGGACAGATGCAGCTTCAGCCAGTCAGGGGGCAGGAGGGAATGCTGTGTCTGGGGAGGGCAAGGCCAGATCCATGCAGCAAGGGCCTCCATCCCCACCACTGCTTTGGCTGCTGCACAACTGGAAGGGGCCTGCTCTGCTCCCCCTGTTGCACACTTGCCCCAGCTGACAGCCTGCCACTGGCAGGAGGTGGGGCTGGGGCAAGGGGATGCACTGCTTAAATGGGGGTCGCCAGCTGCTGGCTGTGCCTGGCATTCTCCAGCAATCTGCAGGGAGGCACATGGGAGCACTCCCACCTTGCTGGCCCCAGCCAGTGCAGGCAGCCTGCATGCCCCTCCCTCCCCTCCACTGAAGAGCGAACTAATGTCCTGTTCAATCACGAACTAACACAATACACTTACAGAAACCCACCTAAGTTCAAATCTGCCTGGGGTTTTTTGAATGTCTATACCTAGCCATAGCCTACATGTAGAAAAGATATCCAGGTGACACCTTGACCTCCCTTAGATAAAATGTTTCTACATGTAACATTTAAAATATGAAGAAGGCACCCTTCATAAGCTTTAAGTTTTGCTCCCACACAAAACCTCAAATGGACTTGAGTTTGAGCATGCAAATCAGTATTTTGGAATAAAGAAAAGTACAGAGTACTGTAACAATTCCCAAGCAAGCAACAGAAACTTGAGTTAGCCATAAGCTGTTCTCTAGACTAAAATCCATGGAAGCTATCTGAGATGAGAACAAACTGTTCACAGTATAAATATATCCAGCATTAAACATAAATCAAAAAGAAACCCAGACCTGCTAGGGTATGAAAATGAACAGTCAGAGGATCCAAACAACATTAACTCATCCTTCTACTGACCCTATGAAACAGCAGTACAAATACACAATGGTGATTGTAGTCCCAAATTAGATCTTCTGAACATTCATTTTTTTGTCATATGAAACTGTGCTCGAAATGTTAGCCATTTGGGCACATTTTGAATTTGGTCCTCATAGAGCTATAGATCTAAAAGACAGATTAGAATTTAGCTGACACAGATAGAGGAACATGTGCAGTAGACACCAGAATTCATGAGTGAGTGATTCCCAAATGGCTAAATCAAAATTACTCTCAAAATTGCACAACCAAACTCTGCATGGGACATGTTCTTAAGATGTTGTGCATGTGCTAGGCTTCCTCAGGGTGACTGGTGCTTTTTTTACATGTTGTTAAAATAAAATTGTAACCAACGCATTCCTATAGCAGTGTCACTTAGTAATGGGAAGTAGGTGAGGCAAGTATGTGCCAGTATTGGTATAAACACTGAACAAACACCCAAATTTAGGAGCTCTCTCAGATAACACAAAAATCAGTAGCTAATTATTATGAGAGACCACTCCTGTCCATAATGGGACGGTTAGTTTGGAAACATAGCTGTAATTTGGTCAATTTTTAAAGTTTGATTAATGCTTGTATAATCATCAGAAGATAAAAATTCTCTCTGCTTCATCAGAAGAAAAAGTTGGACCCATCTTTCATGCGTCACAAATAAAAAATGTTGGACCTTAAACCTTAAGGGTAAGCATCAATTATTCTATAATGTATGGGCTAGGATCATACTTTTTAGCTATATGCTGAGGACATTCAAGTGTGAACTGGGAAGTACGGCAAATTACAAACAGAGCAGCATAAGAGCACCTCTACCACTATTCATGCAGCATCTAGTTCAATGAGGCACAGTCCTGTTTAGGACAGCTTGGCATGACTGCATAATTGTTTATATATAATTTTTTTTTGTGTAGTAACTTTGTGGCTGGCTTCTATTGCATCTTACAATGAACATGTGTCAGGTTGGACCACACTGAGGTTTCCCCCAGTGCAGTCCCTGCTGGCCAAAGATTACCTGATGGGGACTGCACTGTGGTCATGATCCTAGGTGTGTCCCCTATCGCCCTACTGGCAAGTAGGTCAGTGGCCCAAGTGAGTAACCTTAGCAATATTTTTCAATTGTGAGCCAAATACAAAGGTTTATTCTTACAGTTTGAAACTAGCCTCAGATGCACTAATTGGCATACAACATACAAAGTTAAAATTAGGTACTGTATTACAGACATATGTCTCTAATTCCTTCGTTCAGATTAGTCATTTTGACTGCTTGATTACTTACGTAACTTATAAACGCAACCAAGTTGCATCACACTAACTGAGAAATATAACATCTGTGGTATAAAGAAAGCCAAACAACTGTTCTACCCTCAGAACCCCCCAGTCATAGCAGCCTCAGAGATACTTTCAAGAAAGCATAGGAACAATAGCTTTTAAAACATCTTCATAAACAGCAGGCTTCTAAATCATGTACATTCCATTCCAATTAGGAGTAGATGAAATTTATGGAATATGGGATTCTGAAAATCTTCTCTCTCTCTTTCCTTTTTATTTTCAAAGCTTTGAGTTTGTGAAGTGCTTTTTTTTGGCCTGCATATTAACCTAATTTTGGATGTATTGTTCAATTAAAAATGCATATTTCTAGATAAAGGGTACACAGTGCTATGTATTAGGAACATAATTCATTATTAAAAATGAGGCTGGCAAGTGACTGACTGGTATTATACTGTGCCAGTGTGATTTTCCAAAGTACTCAGTAGTAGGTTAACACTGTTTCTCCTGATACAAATGGGAAAACTCCCAATGGTTTCAGTTAGGAACAGAGCTGGGTCAATATAATCTTTTATTTTCACAATAATTCCCTGCTTTTCCCTTTGCTTCATTTCTTTCTGATGGCCTCTCCTAACATATGGACAAAAGCACATTTGAGGCACTTTAGAAAGGGGAGGAGGAGCTGCCTCTCAGGAGCATGAATCACCACCTCACTGTGACATTAGCATGATTCTATAGCAGTACAAATGAGCTAAATCATCTTAATGTGACTTCAAGTGAAGCAGGGTTAAAGTTGGAGAACTTTTGTTACATTTAATCTGCATTCTAAGAGCTTATATTAGGATCCTTTGAAATTGATGGAAGTTTTACATCTGTCTACACTCTTAGGCCAGTGGTTCTCAGTTTCTTAGGTTCAGGGCACCCCATCCACAACTTTTTTAATGTAGTATCTCCCTAGTTGAGAAACTGTTATGTTGCCTCGGCTTACCTTGGTGGTTCTCCACCAGGTGCAGCCACCACCACAGCCAGGTGGAACTGCCCCCAGCACCTCATGCATAACCAGATAAAGCAGGCAGGAGCTTCCACCTTTGCTCCAGCCTTTCCCAGACCAGTCCTACCACATTCCTCCCAGAAGCAGAGGTACACTACATGCCCTGCATGCCTCTGTTTCCAGGAGGAGCACAGGGGGCCCAGCTGGGAAGAGCTGCAAGCAGGATTGAGTGCTCCTGACAGCTTATGTGGCTATGCACCAGACACTTAGGGCAGTTCCACCCACCCACTAAGGCAGTACTACCTGTGATACAGCACCCCTGAAAAGATCTCTTGGCACTTTGGTTAAGAACCACTGTCTTAGGCAGATGTGTAAGCCACCACAACACACCTTAATTGAACGTTCAAACAAATACCAATCTGGTGGAATCAAAATTAAACAACATATTTTTTCCAATCACTAGTTAAACTATCAAGCAGATCTGTATTTTCTAGATCTTCTGGCAGTTAGTTCCCTATGGAAACCTGGAGTACTTGTGCATGAAAACTAGTTTATGGCATGAGATATTACATTAGCAAATCCCTTACGTATTATTATTTATTTTGGGGTAGCAGCCAAAAGGAATGTATAAACAGAAGGGACCACTTGTGCTAGATGCTGCAAAAACACATGGGATAATCTGGTCCTTGCACAGACTCTTTACAGTCTGAAAGAAAACAAAAAGCAATGAGTAAGTATAAACAAAAACCTGGGGGTAGGCTGGGGACAGTGGAAAAAGGATAGATGCAACTGTCATAAAATAGACCAGTAAATTCATTTGGATTAATGGGCCAAAAATTAAGTCAAGCATCAGGATTAAATCAAGACTACACAGCTCCTCCAATGTAATAAACCAAAAGAATTCTTACCTTTGAGTGCCTGTTAAAGGCTGAAGGTAGGCAGCAGCCTGCTGTTGAATGTACCCACTTGGCTGCTGTTGCATCTGTCTTAGTCTTTCTATTAGACTTGGATTTGAATGGGGTGCTGGATAAGTTCTAGGGTTGTAGCTGGGAGAAAGCACAACACCACCAGGCTGCTGTTGTTGCAAAGGCATCTGAGTACTGTACATTGTGTATCCATGAGGCATTGTCTGTGTGAAAAACCACCAAAGATGCAACTAAATAACCATACAATCTACTTGAATATAACCTCAAATAGCAAATCTGGACAAACAAGATACCTAGTAAAACATTCTGCTCCATAATTATATCAGACAGCTGCCTCTACATGAATAGCATATTCCTCTTTTTTTAGTGGGTTTTTACAGCTGCATTGTAACAACATCCACATCAGTTTTTAATTCGTGTTTTGTCAGTTTTGTTCTGAGCAGTTTCAGTCAGATGTGATGACATTTGGCTTCAGCACTTGCAATTTAAACACATTTTTTTTTTTTTTAGTTTCAGAACTAACATGTCAATGTGGGTCACTGAAGAAGGGCAGTGGTATCAACCTTGCTGTAGACGGGCTTAATTTCAGACTCAGCACTGCTGAACACTAGAATTCCACACTGTTACTGGGGAAGGGCTGGAAGCTTGTCAAGTTAATAAATTTTACTAAATTACATGGGGTCTGAAACATTTCCTGTTAACAATGAAATTCCAAGAATCTATTAGTTAAATTCCAGTTCAGTCTTCACTGCAGATCTAAAGCAGGATGATGTGGGGATGCTATGGCCAACTGCACCGAGGTGCATTACAAGGTTAGACCTTAAACTTTCCATGCAAGTGTTCTATAGGAACGGCTCAGTACCTGTGCCTGCTGTAACCCTGGATACTGTGGAAGCTGGGAAGAAGGTCGTACTTGTTGAGTGAAAATAGCAGCTTGGTCTAGTGGCTGGCCCTGAAAAACAAATTACAAGTCAAATAAAACCTGGTTATACTAAATAAGAATCTTTCTGTTTGGGCCATGGACCTGACCAAATCATGCAGTCAAGAGTTACTAATTTATGAACATAATTTACCAGTTTCCCCTCACGAAAATTCTGTTTTATGACAACTAAACTGAATGTTAAGCAGCTTGTGCAGCTACATCCGGCTATCAATGTAGCAGACTTTCATTTTATCTGGCTCATAACTCTATTGCAACAAAATAATGCAGTAAAAAATACAAGCACTTTCTAAAAAGAAAGGCTCTACAGGTTATGTGCACATAAAGTCTCAAATATAATAAAATCCATTTGAAAAAATGTAACAAAGGACAGCACACTGAATTGTGTAGGAAGCTTATGAGAGCAATGAAAGCTGTTAGTCTGAATACACAAAGAAATAACTTCCTGAAGACACATGATCAGTTAGCTTCTCTTCATAATGCAACATGCAAAAATGATAACAGAAGACTCCACTTATCAGAAGTTGCTCAGTTATTATGAAGATATATAAATACCTCCTGGAAAAAGAAACATAGTAGACAATGCAACCATCACTAGTAGAGCCTGAAAGCATATGCAGTATATAAGCACTGTGCTCATTAAAGCCCAATTTGTCCATTTAAAATTTTCTTCTACATTTAAGTATACAGATTGTAAAATGCAGTCTAAACCAAATGAATCCAAATTACTAAACAGAAAGTTGTAACAGCTGGTAAAACTGCAATCAGATTTTCAAAATTGAACACTTTACTTCTGCTATATCTAATTAATACCAGTTTAGAAAGGATTTCAGTTATCACTTTATATGCATGCTTCAAAAGCAAGTATGATAAAGAAGGAAAATAGGCATAAATACAAGATCAAGCTTGTTAAATATATGGAAATGGAAAAGTAAAAGATACAAGCAAAGCTTAAGGGTTTTTTTTCTGTTTTTGTAATGTTGAATCCTAAAACAGATTAATTGGAAAAAACATCCTAATCAATAAACATTCAACATCACACTGATACACGGGACAGATCTCAAGAGCAGAGAGTTTTCCTTCATCATGCACCCTTGTCTTTTTAATGTTCGCATTCATTATGCTACATAAACTATAATATTGACAGCAAACATGCATAAGAGCAAAAATCATACAGTTCACTATTATTTGGACCGTGCCATAAAAAAAAAATATATGGGTAAAAAAAAAAACCCTGAGACAAATCTATCTGGTCTGAATGGACACTACAGAAGGAAGGAGAAAGTAGCTTGAGAAGGGGTAGTTTTGTTTTGGAGAGCCAAAAACAGCTCAGGCTCAAAATTTAAGCAACTTGTAAGTAGGGGCTGGTTGTGCTGTACCCTGAGACAAGTGCAGCAGGAAGGGTTTAGGTCATGAATGAGATGTCCACTTTCTTTTCTAGTGCCCAAGCAAAAACTCTCAAGAGGCAGAGGTGACAGTTCCTCACTTTTGCTGCTTTCCTTCTCAGGAGATTAACAAACTCAGTCACTGGGGGGGTTGTTGTCGTCTGTCATATACTACTTATTAGAAACAAAGATGCCAGAGTGAGGTGGAAGACACTTGCAACTGTATGGGATTTTCCTTTTTCCTTTCTTTAAGGCTAAGTAATACCTTATAGGGAATTTTGGGAGGCTGGGAGAATTATTAGAAACATCTTCCCCTAAGTAAAAGGTCATTAATACAATAAAATAGATATTGGGCCTGTCATCCCACTGAGTATCACCTTGCACAGTTAATTTATATATGTACAAATTAAATACAACTAGGGTGAAAAAACACATTTGCAAAATCAGGCTAGAATAGCTGAGAGTCACAAATTAGTAGACTACAAACTAAGTGGGCCAAATTCACGCCTAGGTAAGCACACAAAAATAATAATTGGACGTCAATCAAGTTCTTAATAATACTGGATGTAGATTTGGTACTGTAGTTTAAGGTAAGATATGCAAGGTGTTTTCTGGTATGTCTCAGAAATTTTAAAAAGAGGGAAGGAGAAGGAAGAAAGAATCACAGAAAATACATTACAGAAGCAGAATGGTCTCCAAGCCGCATTCAATTTCTCTGTTAGGTGCTAAATGCTCTGTAATTATACTTTTAAAGTGGTTGATCTGTACCACAAAACAGTTAAATCCTAATAAACCATCAGATCTGATGTCTAGGTTCCAAACCTTCTAATCCTACAGTCAGTAACAAACAATTCTGCTTCTACAAGGACTGGAACTGAAACCTACTGGAGGGATCCATGCAGCTGGCACACTGCACAAGTGTATATAGAGGCAATGCAATGTGCTATTCCTTTGGGATTTCTTCATCAAAACCATCTGTCCAACTCCCAAAGTCAACAGCTGCTAACCCCAGGTCTCTGAGAAAATAATTTTGGCTGTTGCTAAAAGTATCCATTGAACAACGGACCAGTTTGACTCCTGCTGAAAGTCACTTAAGTGGAAGTTGGATTGAGTCCTAATTCATTAAGGAAATCCTAAATAAGTAAATGCAAGATCCCACAGAGAGAACTAAGCTGTAGGCAAGAAACCACAAATTACTCTCATTCATAAAACATATACATAGACAGCTCTAAACAATTAAAAAGCTAAGCTATGAAGCAAGGCTAATGTTTTATGAATTATACAGCACAGCTTTTTGCATTTATGACCACAGTCTATGGGGTGCTACTGCCTGGACAATAAGAAAAAGACCAGAAAAGAGCCATAGATGCAAGCTAAAAAAAGTAAACTTTACAGCAAAAAAGTTGTTCGCTAGTCAAGGAAAAGTTCAATTTCCAGACAACCACAAAGCAAATTCCAATGGCATGAGCAAGAAATCTTTGATTACTCTTGAGCAGACACTACTAAATTCTAAAAAGCTTTTCACTACAGGCAGAGTCAAGTCAGTAGTTACAAACATGCAAGTTACTTGCTGCAAGCCAGAATGGGCCGTGCAGGTAATAAAAAAATTATATTTTTCAAAGATGATACAGTCTCATAATAGCAAGTGTGTTATTTTTTGTTTGTATCGCGTATAATATAAGATACAGTAAAATTCACCACATTTGGAAAAACACATTGTGCACTAAACTGTTATAGCAAAATTCTTATCTAGCACAACAGTAGAACTGGCATCAGCCATTAAAACAAGCCTGTATGACCTCAGCTAGTTTGATAGTCAAGTCTGTCTTTGTAAATAGGCAGCAAAGAAATAAAACACAGGCTAAATGTCATGGCTCAATACATCTAAGTACATGAAAGACTCTACTGTATGTCATTCTATATCAGATTGCTGACAGGCCTTCAGTAAATAATACTTATTATTTGCATGTATATCAAATATTTAATACAAAGCCCCCTGCATACTTTGATTTTATAAAAAATAAACAAACCTCAACTCCTGTTCAATTACCTGCTTTACCAATGTAACATAAACAGTGCTCCCAAAGTAGGAAGAAAGACCTGCAACCTTCTCTGAATCATAACTTTCCCAACCGATAAATAAGTCTTCAACGCAGCTACCAAACAGGTGAAGCTCATCAAGTACTTTTGGCTGTTACTACTTTTTAAGGGAACAATTAAAAAAAAAAAGTTTGGTGATATCCTGGAGCCCCCTTTGAAGTTAGTGGGAAAACAGTTACTGAAGAGATTTTATCCTTTTCCTGCTGGCAAAATATTGAGCAGCAGGATTCTTGGGCCAAATTTCCTAAAAGAGATTACTTCACATGTAAAGAGCTAGATTTTCCGTACTCAACCTGTCCCACCACAACACTTTCAGGAAGATTTTTAAGCGAATCTGCTACCAATGGTGACAATTTTTACCTCATCTGGCCACAGAAAGCAGTTTATTGCCCTGACCAAACAAGTGTACAGCTGCAGACAGCCTTGAAAATGGCCAATCAGGTGAAAATGTGACCC